CTCAGCTTTTATTTCTGTGAGTGGTTGGTGCACGTGATTGAAAATAATGAAGTTTGTTTTTCTCCTGTGTGCATTATGGGAAACTACATTACATGCTGGGAGCCATGCTGTTTTCTCACTTCAAACACTGCATAGGAGAAGCACTGAAAACTCATAAAACCTGCATTAGAAAAATACATACATTTGCTTCTTTTCCAAGCACACACAAGTTTGCACATACAAAGCGTCAAAGTCATGCAATATTTATCAGGAACGCCGCCACTAAAATAAAGAAAAGTAAAGCAAAAAATACCTTTTATAGGCATGTTCACTAATGAGTAATTATCTCGGAGTCCTTCAACCTACATTCATAAACCTCCTTTAAATCCCCTTCTACAGCGGTTCCCTAAAGACTTCTTTAAACACAGCTGACATAAAGGACATGAAACATATTGCCGGAACAAGCCAAGAACAGACTAATATAGATTAATCAATACGGCTCTAAATATAGACGTCAATGTAGAAGCTCCTGTCTTACCGTCTTTGTGGTAATAGGTGACCTCGACTTTCCTTTCTTCTGACCCCAGCAAGGCCTGCGCTATCTGTGCAATGTCGTGTCTCTTGGTCTCTGGGCCATGGAGGAAGTCACAAGTGCATGGTTTCTGCATGACATCTGGCCTTGAGAATCCCGTCAACTCGCAGAAGCCATCGTTACAGTATATAATCGCACAGTTCTGGACCCTGGCATTAGCAATAATGAATTTCTTATCTGTAACAGGAAAATTGGAACACAGCAGTTAGAATATAGCAAGAAAATGTAAGCAGACAAACATATTTGTAGGTGCTCCAGTCATGAACATTTTGCATTTGGATGGACTCACATGACTAGGGAGTTTACATTTCCCCAAAATTGTAAAATCTTCGGGAAAAACATGCCATTTGGAGAAATGCATCAGTTTGAATGTGGTAGACAAAATTAAATGGTGTGAAAACTTGAATAAACTTCTCTTATTGGCCCTTTTTTGGTCTGTTAAATACCGAATTGAAAACTGTTTGTTGTATCTGTTTGATAATTGCAAAACATAGCTGTGGATCCTGCTGGTAACCTAGAACAACGTTCCTTAACCTCTTTTCAGTCATGGCACACTTTAAAAGTATGGAAAATCTCAAGGCACCCACCCTATCAGAATCGTCCTTTCACATCACAAGCCCCCTTCACATGACAAGCCCCCTTCACATCAGAAGTCCCCACTTCACATCAGGAGCCCTCTTAACATCAGGAGCTACCTTACCTTCATATTAGGATCCTCAGTCCCCCCCTTCACATCTGAGACCTCAAACCTCCCTTCACACCAGTGACCCCCTGATGTGGATATAATTGAGCTGATTTTTTAGCATAATTGAACTGACCCATTTCTTGCTTCAGCTGAAAGATTTGGAGTTTTCTACATGGTCAGCTATGGATTAAGCTGCCTTATTTTCTGACAGGGGTTTATATCACCAAGATATCTGTGTCCCAGGAGAAGGACCATGGGAAGTTTTCAAAAGGTTTTACTAAATAACAATAACAACCAAGTGATTTGTGTCCAAACTGATGAGATAATGGGATGCTGTCACCATAAGTATATAATAGAGCCAGTGGTTAAAGCCAAATTAAACCCTCAGTTTAAACCAGCTAAATACATTCCAGGTGCATCAAAACAAAATGGGGGGAATTTATCAAAACTGAAGCAGACAAAATCAGGAGCAGATGTGCATGGCAACCTATCAGCTTCTCTTTTCAGTTTGTTCAGTTAAGATTTGAAAAGGAAAGATAGAGGCTGATTGGTTGCCATGCACAGCTGCTCCATATTTTGTCTGCCCCAGTTTTGAAAAATTCCCTTCAATGTGTTTCATTTTCTCTTTAAAGAAGCCCCAACTAGCAATTGCAGATTAGGACCATTGTTCTCTGTGGGGAAGCAGTGATCTTACTGCAGAGGTCCATCACGCCCACCTACTGCATCGGACCTATAGCTCTGCAGTCAGCAAAGCTCATAGTCCCTGCTGATTGAAGACCACTGGCTCTCTCAAATGCACCTTCTGGCCGCAATGCGATTGACCGCAGTGCAACGTGCAGTACTGCAATGCCGTGTGTTTTGCGATTGAAAACAAGTAGGCATGCACTATGTTTTTCAATTGCGCTGCAACACAACGCACGTTACCGCACCGGTACCGGCGTGGTCGATCACATTGTGGGCTCCTGTCCAGTTTGTTTGTGGTGCCATTCATATGAATGGCAACGCAATGTACCTCCCGCACTGTTAATCACAGAATGTATTTAATGCATACAGTGTAGTGAAACTCTATAGTCCAGCTGGTAGGGATGACGATGTTACTTCAACGTCAGCCCTACTAGGGCATCAGCTAATTGTTGTGTGCTCAAATAGTATGGAGCACAGTGGATTTTTGGCTTGACTCAACAACTCAACAATTATTTTTCCAGTACTTACAGCATTTTAAAGGGATAACACATGGGGCGATGTGCATATATTACAGACAGGGGCTTCATTTTAATGAAGCAACCTGATGTTGTTTCCTCAGGCGGCATCTTTTTGGGTCATGAGGGGGGGTGGAGGGCAGAACGGCACTGTTTACAGTGTGTCATTACCTTTCCAGCCACTGCATCCCAGGTTGCTTGGAGCCAGACACGTAGATGTGTAAGGGCTATATGCAAATCCACACCCAGCTCTTAGAAACCTAGGACGCTCTGGCCGGTGTCCTGTCCAGCTCCTGGTAACTAGTGATGTCGTTTGTTTTCAGGAGCTGGGCAGGACATCGGCCAGAGCATCCCAAGTTCCTAAGAGCCGGGCTGCACATCTGCAGAGCCTGCAGAGGGCGGCGTGCACCACCACAACCCCGGCCGCCACCATCTCAGGCAGCAAAAAGGCTAGGTACACCGCTGATTAGAAAAAATTACTAAATGTGGGTTTTTTCTGACATACACTTTAGAAAGACTTTGCTGTGCTTTCCCTAATTGAAATAAGCACAAAACAGTGATACAGAAGGTTTACATTATTGTATTTGTATAAATGCCCCTCTTAGTGTAAAGTTTAGAATATTTCTCCGCTCCTAGTTTATTGAAAACAATATACATCCCAAATACACTGAACATCATAAGCGAATTATGTCATCCGTCTGCATTCATTTCCCAGTGTCAGTCGTGCTAATAATTTTTTTTTCTTAGTCGTGCTAAAATTAGTGCCAGGATCTGGCGGACTTTAATCTGGAAGGCACTAAGTTTATATGTAGCGGAATATATCAATTTCCGTCTGAATAATTTTAACATTCCATCACAATCAGCCGACGTGTTCTTGCCTCTACAGTGGATCAGCAAAGATAAATGGTTCTGGCACAGCAATTCTCTTCTATGACTAGAATAGGTAACAGCTTTTTAATAAAGTTATTATGTTTCCGGCAGAATCAAAAGAACACAGAAGAAACTTGTTAAAGATATATTTCCTTGTATAGATAATGTAATAGGAGATTTCAGAATGTTACTAGGCTGCTAAATATAAAATGAAAGAGGAATTTCAGCCTATGCAATACTTGCAATCAAGTACTGAAATGTTACTATTTTGTAATGTATTTGTGACTGATCCAGATAAACTATGTCTGAGCAAAAATAAAAAATCATATTCAGTACATTCCACATATTTCAAATTTTTAATGCAGAATTTCAGGCAAATTAAATCTTAACCCTTGCATTGGGCCATCGCACTGCAAGGGTTAAAAGAGAACTATGGGGTAACCTTTTTTCCCCATAGTTCTCTTAAGGGTCACGGGAGGACATACACTAACCTCCTCCTCTGACCCAAAGTTTAGTATATAGCGAGCTACAGCTCGCTATATACTGAGAGCGCTGCAGCCGGAACGGATCCTGATAATACTGTCGAGATCGGCCTAGCTGGCTGATTGACAGTGGGCTCTGCCTATCTAGAGGCAGATGCAGCTGTGCCCGCCCCCTTCCTGTCCGTTCCTCCAGTCAGTGCTGGAGGATAGGTGGGGGGATCCCAGCCGGGAGCGGTGACTGACAGTCACCACTCTCTGCAGGGAGATGATCAGGAAGTGACGGTATGTGTTTGCTCACTTCCCCATCTATATAGCCGACGTGTGACAGTTTCAATGCCTCACGTCGGCTTTAACTATGAGGATGAGTGAAAATTTCTCCTTTAAGTGCCAATTTTGTCTTGGGAGCTAAAAAGAAAAAAAAAAGTTATACTCACCCAATCCTTGGAGCCGGCTTGCTCTTAGACCAGTGGTCTAAGGTCCTGTGAGTCATCACGTTCTATACAGTGTACAGAATGTGAGGACGCCAAGGGACATTCCATCGCTGAAATGGAGGAGGAGGCGGACTGAAAGGAGCGGTGTAGGAGCCAGCCAGGATTGCAGTTCGGGTGAGTGTAACTTTTTTATTTTAGCTCCCTAGACAAAATGAGAATTAAACCCTTGCAGCGTGAGGGTAGCCCCGCTGCAAGGGCTTAGATTTGATTTGCCCTGAATTCGACTTCACAAATGCTGCAAGTACAGAAAAATAAAACCTGTTGATCTGACAAAAATCCAAGGTGTTTTTGGTTTTATAATACAGTGGCTCTGCTGTACTAAAATCCCAAGTAGCATTGCCAGCCCTGCCTGCTGGACTTCAGAACTCCTCCTATCCTCCACCGTTCTTTGGCCCAATCCACCTGCACACATTAATTTCTTTCTCTGCAAAATAATCCTGCTGTCTTGATGCCCAAGAAAATGCCCGCAGACTGTGTGTAGGGAAAGAGCTCTAGAGAGATGTAGCTCTGGGGGGCATGACTACATCAATTAGAATTAAAGGAGGACTATAAGGTGAGTGATTTCCACTCATCCTCATAGTTAGAGCCGACCTGTGACAAAGAAGCTGTCACACGTCGGCTCTATCGATCGGGAAGTGAGCAGAAACATGCCGCCGATCGATCACTTCCTGATCGTCTCCCTGCAGTGAGCGGTGACTGTCAGTCACGGCACCCCACAGGGATTCCCTCCGTCCCCTCTCCCATTCCTCCAGCACTGAGTGGAACTGACCATAGAAAATCTGCAGATAATCTATAGGTGTATGGCCAGCTTTGGTGGCGTTTTTGTACAACACAAATCTCAACATGAAAACTGCATATGCTCAAACGAAAATGTGGTCGTTCAATCAATGAAAATCGGCCAGTTAGTGGTGCTGGCGAACGATAATCACAAACTACATTGGTCTGTGCATGATGGGATGTTTGAACGAAAATTGAACGAGGGTGAGATGTTTGGACAAAAAAAGTTGTACAATGGTTGTAAGGTGTATGGCCCCCTTTAGACTGCCCATAGACAGCTGGAATGTTGGCTGATTGCTGAAATGGCCAAAATCCAAGCCACAGCTGGCCCTGCAATTGACTAAGCCGTACAGAAAATTCATGGCTAAATAGTGATTGCATTCAATCAGACACAATCACTGATTGGTTGTTTAGAAAGCTGTTCATGCCACGGCTTCTGAATACAATAGCCAGCAATGGCGATTCCTCTATTCGGACTGTTAAAGGTGGAGTGGGAACTGATTGATCTTCTCTCATTCAGCTGGGAAAATCGAGCTGTAAGTGGCAAGCTAAAATCAATGAAAGCAAAGCACTCCCTGTGTGGCCGATATCTTATCTCTACAGCTGTTTAGCAGCCGGGCAGAGTCATTAAAGGAGATCATTTACCCGGCTTCTCCTAGCTAATCTGCAAATC